ACTCGCTTTTCGGCTCGTCCAAACGTCATAGTGCCCTTCTTGTAGTTGGTCGTGACAGATCCCAATGTCTCAAGCCATTGAACTTCAAGTACTATGTCTGGTCCCGTCAAAGGTAAGGCATAAAGATCAGCCTTCAAGTCATAGCCATGTGCAAATATGGGAACACCTTTGTATAGCTTGGAACTTTTGAGTTCTTCTCCGTTTGCAACCTTCACCCCGAATTGCTTTATGTTTGTCACCGGCGTCTTTAATCCTTTGGACAGCTCCTTGTCTATGAAATTTAGTGTCGAACCGCTGTCCACTAGTACGTCAAGCTCTTCGCCTTGTACGATTGCTGTGAACCGAATCATCTTTGGTCCTCTCTCTCTCTTTTTGCTCTTAATCACATGTAGCAAGGTCTCCTTTCGCTCCATATGTTCGTACTCCTCACGTTCCGGTTCATCCTCATCAAACTCAAGCAAGAACACTTGCTTACCCACACACCTATGACCCGGTGTGAACTTCTCGTTGCAAGTAAAGCATAAGCCTTTCTCGCGCCTTCGTTGGATCTCCTCGGTCGAAAGCCATCCCATGCGGCTCGTGGATTGCGTGCCGTCATCGGTCGGCTTGGTCTCGGCCCGTGGGGGCGTCTCGTCGGTCGCAGCGCTCGTGCGCCGTGCGTCCGTACGTCCTTCGCCTTTGTTGGCCTTACGCACCGCAGCAATGTGGTCCTCGTGCAGTCGCGCGGACTCCATGGCCGCTCGTGTGGACCTTGGTCTATCCAACCTCACTTCAGCCGCTAGCTCGGCTTTCAGTCCTCCAATGAATGCGCCTACTAACGCGCTCTCGGGCCAGTCTCGTACCCGACTTGCAATGCGTTCGAACTCCTTCTGGTAGTCTCGAAGGCTACCGTTTTGATGAATTCGGGAGAGCGCCTCGTCATAGTCATAGTAGTCACTCGTGCCAAAACGTGTGACCAACTCCTTCTCAAAGTCTCTCCACCGAATGTCCTCGCCCTTGGTCTTGTACACATGTGACATCCATTGCCACCACGTGTTTGCTTCACCATCGAGATGATAAGCGGCGATCTTGACTCTCTCGGACTTGTGCACATCATTGATCTCGAAAAATTGCATGGCTTGATTTAACCACGCGTCCGGGTCGGTCCCCGTAAATGTAGGCATCGTGAGCTTTCGTCGTGCATGGCCTCGGTCGTCATGGTGGCGCGTTGCGCGTGATGCGCGAGTCCTCCGTGATCGTCCGTCGTCGTCTTCGTGGTCGGTCCCGGGGCTGCTCGATGCCGCGGTCGATCGCGAGGTGTGGCTCCTTCGCGGTCGGCGTGTCATGCGCGTGAGTTGCCCGGCTAGATCATGCACCATGAGCTCGAGTTTAGCGAAATTCTCATTGACAAGGTGTTGGCCATTGCCGATGGACTTCAGACTCTCCTCCAAGGCTTCGGTCCTCTCTTTATGTGTCATCATCCTCGACTCTCTCTTTTTTTTTTTTTTTTTTTTTTGCCTCGTTACTTAGAAAAGTTTGAGATTGCATATTTACTTTATTTCATCCTCAATCAACTTAATAAGAGAACAAAATAATCTTTTTTCAAAAATATGACTGAACTTAGAAATTATCCAAGCTGCCTACGTACCTTTTAAAAGGATCAAGTCATAACGTAGTTCAAAGTAACATCAACATGAATTTGTTTATGGAGTGCCGTGCACAGTTTATACTCATGCGGGCCAGGAGTGACTATTCTTTAACCACTTTAGACAAAGTAGAGTATTAAGTTTAACCACATAACACCTTAGTGCGAGAATTAACAGTTTAACCACGTATATTGACATCTATCATTATATAAAAAGAATAACTTTTTTACAAATTTAGAAACTTTTTCCCGCCAAAATCTTTAAATATATCCTATATATAGTAATTGTTGGACAAATCTGAATAGGCAAAAAAATCCGTTCATTAATTGTGTAAAGTTTTGTTTCTCTTTTCCCTGTTTCTTAGTTTATCGTTTTAACAATAAATATTTGTTTTTCTTTTTTCTATTTTTAGTATAAATCTACACGAGCTTATCTCTTCTGTTACAAAATCCCATTGCATACGATTTTAGGTGTTTAAAAAATCTCATCTCTTATCTATACAGATTTGAAAAAATAAAAAAAAAATAGAAATCAATTCATAATTACTACTAGAAATCCATTATCTTTAAAAAGAAAAAATAAAATAAAATAGAAACCAATTCATAATTACTACTAGAAATTTATTATCTACTTTAAGAAGCTAATTTTCATCGGTCTAATTACTAATGTTTTTACAAATATTCTAAGCTAACCATACAAAAAAATATAATGATAATTTTGAAATGGTGTATAATCAAATTCTTGTACAAAATCATTTTACATTGTTTGATCCCGAATCTTTAATTTATAATTATTAAGTATTGTTTATCTTCCTCTTTTATTTATAATTATTTTTTTTCTTCCTCTTTTTAAATACGATCAATAATAGCTTTCACTTCCGCCATTGACTCAAACTCGAGGTCTATTTATAATATTGCGAGCAGGGTCAGCTGAGCCCAGTCGGCCTCGGGGCGTGTCCAGCAGCACGCCCGAGAGCCCAGTGACCTCGGGGACGGCCAGTAGCGCCCGTGTGGCCTCTGCCCGTGTCTGTCCCGCGTCTGCCCTAGCCCAGCCGGCCCGGGACGTGCCCAGCAGCACGCCCGCGTGCCCAGAACCCTCCAGGGCGCCCGGCAGCGCCCGCGTAGCCCCTGACCAGTGCCAGTCCGCGCCGTACCGTGCCCAGTGCACGCCAGCGCGCCCCAGCAACCCTCAGTCCGTGCCCAGCCGCACGACAGGGCTTCAGCCAAGCCTCGGCCGTGCCCAGCGCGCACCCGAGGGGCACCAGTCGTGCCCGGGCCGTGCCAGCAGCCTCTGGCCGTGCCCACCAGCGCCAGTCCGCGCCTAGCCAAGTCCAACGGCCCCAGGGACCGAGCCCGGTCGCACCAGCCGTGCCCAGCGCCGTGCCCGGGCACCAGCTGGCCCGGCACGGGGTCGAGGCCGGTCCAGCCGATCCAGCGCCCGACCGCCCGGTCCAGCCGAGCCAGCGGTCCAGCCAGCCAACGAACCGGCCGGTTCGACCGGCGATTCGAGTCCGTTTTGATTCGTGACTTTCGGTCCGAGTCTATATACGGAATTTTAGTATTTTTCCGAGCCAGTCCAGTCCAGTTAAATTGAGTAGATAGAACCGAGCATTTTTAGCATATAATTAAATATTCGAGCATTATACTTAGCATTATTTTGCTTAAATATTTATGTTGCCTAAGGAGAGTCGAGCCACCGACCGCTACCCAGTATCAGCACTTACATCAGATTCCAAGTTTTCAGGTGGGGGTCATGTACTGGATTCCACATCATAGATAATATCTGTACCATGGCAGAGGTATGTTTGAGACAGTTAGTATCCAGGTGGGGGGTGACCTAAGGGCTTAAATATCCCATCTGATGACCCGTGGGGGGCCGACCTGAGGGCCTTTATACCCCATCGGCGTGTGCACACGAACGGCCGACCTAAGGGCCGAGGGTCTTTTGACCACAGAAAAGAAAGAAAAGAGAAGTTTACAGTTTCAGCTCTTATATATTTATGTTCATGACACGTTATTATAGATGATGTTTTATTCAGTACTGGTCTTTGCGGAGTATAGTGGTTTGCTCACGCCCCCATTGTGTTTTTCAGGAGACGGAGTCGAGCGTGCCGGATGAGCACAGTTGTGGCGAAGCGTGGTCATGAGAGTTGGGCATATTTTACGCACATTTTTATGTCCTAGTTTATGATCATGTATTTGATTCAGTTATGTATGCATGTATTCTATATTTCGGATGCTTCCACTAACAGACTAGACAGTGCGAGACAGTTCAGACATTGCATGTTTAATACCATTATCCGCATCAGATAGCTTGGTTGTATGTTTCATTTATGTCTGTGAGAAAGTTAAGTTAAGTTTTTATCTGTGGCATCCCGCAATGAGTCAGTATTTTCGAAAACCAAGCTCGCACAACCTTTCGAAAATAAAAACAAAAATTTTACTCTGATTTTTCAAAGCTAGTAAGGCGGGGTGCGGCACCTTAAATCAAAAATATAAAGTATTTTTTTTAGTACAACTAATTTTTAATATATCTATTAATTAACTTTTTTAAGTCAAATTTTAAATTAATTATAATAAAATTTCAAATTAATTATAATAACTTGTAATTAATTTCAAAATTAATAATTATTGTAATAATTATAAAAGTAATTAATAAATTTTATAATATTTAGTAGTTTATTATTATTATGATAATTAATAATTTTTTTATCAAATAAATTCAGTAATATAATTTTTTATTTATTAATATAATATTTTTTAGGTTTTAAATTATAATATTTTTTTCAAATAAATTAATTAATATAATTTTTTATTTATTAATATATTATTTTTTGTTTTAAATTATAATAATTAAAATTTTTAATTATAATTTATAATTATTATTATATTTTAATTATAATCTATTAAAAAAATTTTGTCCAGCCGGCGAGGCCGGCGGTTTTTGGTCCGTCCGGCCCTGGAAAACGAGTATGGGGGCGGCGTCTGGCCCGAAAATGCCGAACGCCTTCGTTGGCTACCGATAAAGGCGACCGGTCGCTTTTTGGGCCGTCCGCAATCATAGACCTTACGGCTCCGCGGCGTCCGGTATTCCCGATTGGACACGACACCAGAATTAAAAAAAAAATTAAAATTATTTACAATGAAAAAAAATTACCTTGCTACTGAGCAAGGTTTTGTCGAGGCCATAGGATTTTTTCGATATTTTTTCGGAACTTTTTTAAAGCTCAAATGACTCGTTGAAAACCGAGAATTTAGAGAGATAGAGAGAGTAGAGAGAAGGGAGAGAAAATATGGGGTAAGGAAAAAATAGTAAAAGAGGAGGCCTAATAATAAGGGTGGTGAATAGCAATTTACAACTAACTTTTATCTATTATTCCATTTTCACTTTCCTCGAGAAGACGGAAAGCGCGTGGTTTACCCCTCTCTTTTATTTTATCTTTTTCCTATTATTTTCAGAATTGGAAATCCAAAAAAGTTTCCCTTCCACCCCTTCTTTGCATTTATGCGCGTGTATATTTATGTAAGAAAAAAAGGAAAGAAATTTGTACAAGAATCCACCCGATTTCTTAAACATTCGAACACGGATTTTCCGGCTCCTATCTCTCCAGAACAATCTAATTTCATCCCCGATAGTATTGACACAGTTATTTCATATTCATATTCTTTAATTATATTATGTTAATTATGTTAATATGTGTGGTTCAGTTTCTGGGTTGGAACTGATCGGAGTTGTAAAATCTGTAATGGGTTTCTCCTGGGTCTTGATAAATTGTTGTGGATTCTTCCGTCTTATCTATTATAGTTTGTAATATTCGTTAATTATAGTTTACTTGATTATAAAGAAATTAGAAAGCTTAGGACTGATCATGACTGATCGTTTACTTTCTGAATTTGATTTCCTGTTCCCGTTTGATTGATGCTGAGGTATTATTGCTTCCCTGGCAGAGGAAAGAAAGGACATTTCTTTATCGCAATTTCTCTATTTGTACGCATACTTGTGTTTTTCGGTTCAATTTTAGGATTTCAACTGGAGTTCTGTTTTGTGATTCATATTTCTTGCATTGATTTTATTAATCTTAGGTCACAAATTTTCAGGTGAGTTGGTGTGTCTGAGTGGTAGAATATAACTAGAAGGGAGCCATTTGGGTTTTCTCTCCGCTGGGGAAGGCTGCAGTTTGCTGAAGTTAGTTAAGCTTCGCGAGCTAGCGAACTTCTCTCAATTTAATCACCTTTTCTCATGGCAATTGGATTCCACCGCTTGTAAAATTTGATCTTTCTGTGAGCTGGGAAAAAAGGGTTTTACTTTTAGGGATTTTAGCGTTGACAAGGTTTATCATGGGTGCTGTTTGTGGCTGTCTGAGGGATGAATGGGAAGATTACGTCAATCCTAACAGCTCCATTTATAGGAATTGTGTATGCCTTCAATGCTTCATGCAGAGTTTGGTTCACACGGTATGGTTTATATTCCATTTGATGCTTGAATTTGTTATAATAGCATTGCTTTGTACTGCTATCTTTATATTTGGTGCGAAATGGTATGGAAGTTTCGTCTTTGTTGAATGCATATATGCAATGATTTTTTTTTTTTCGTTCAGTTACTTGATCTTCTTCGGTGGGTTTGACGTGTGTCTTTCTCGTCCTTACCATAATTTAAGGACAGCCCAAATTTAGAACTTTGGGGTTAGCCAAATCCTTTCATATTGCAAGCTGGTCATGTTATTAAGGGAGCTCCTGCAAACACCTTGGAAAGTGGTATTATCAGTTATTGGTTGAACAAAAGTTTGGTTTTAATGTTTCAAATTCACTTTGTATTTCAGATTCTATATAGTGTAGGAGTCTCCCCAAACTTAAAAATAAAAATAAAAATTAGTAAGAATAATAATTTTCATGATCTATGAGATAAAATGAGCCGAAAGGACTCTCCCTCTCTCCCCCCGCATTGCATTTTCCCTTTCAATACAACAAAATCATTTACTCTAATAAATCACCAAGTTTTAGTAAAATACCCCACCAAGCTCAGTCTCACACGATTATTACAATTCGAAACCCAAACTGATTGTTTACCACTCATTACAGTATGCGTCACTCTTTCACAGAGGAGAAGAACATGCTCTGCCTTCTTCCAGTCAGGGGACAGCTTCATTAACCTCTGTACAATCGACTGATAACTCCATAGGCGATATGTACCGTTCACCTCCACTACCTCTGCCTTACGATGCAGACCAAAGGTATTTCCGTTTGCCGAATGATGGGCTGATTGGGAGAAGGGATAAAGGGTCAAGTCATTTGAACGAGGAAACTGAGCCGCTGAGAATGGAAGAACCTCATGAAGAATCCGAACCCGTGAGTGGCAAGGGCAAGTGGAATGACTTTTCATGTGATGATTATTCTAAAGAATATAATTCGAAATTGTCGGTGAAGGTGCCGAGGGCAGAGCCAACCGCTGGTTTTGCTCATATTAATGCTGCTTCAGAGGATGAGGATGTCTGCCCTACGTGTCTCGAAGGTAGAGAAATAGTGCTTTGTTTTTTCTGCAATTTTT